ACGTCATTGAAACATCGGAATAGTCCCTAGAATATGCATACGAAAATAAATAATGCCAAGTTGCCAAGTTTCTACAACATATTCTCAATTGAAGAAGTAAAAAAAGCATACCTGGAATAGCGAAAACTTCACAGCATCGAATGTGTCTTCTTTTGTCTCTTCAACAGCGAATAACGTACGTAGTTTGGTAGCGAATTCCGGGTCGCGGAATGTATCAACAATGAAATGTTCTGTCTCCGAAAGATCTTCTTCTGTTCTATCGATTGCTTTCTGTTCGCACAACGGCGCATATCTGTTATGATAGCAATGAACCACACATTGCAGCATTTTACAAAAACCATTCTTACGTTATGAGCTTCTCTGGCCAAGTGTAGAATCCCCAATGTTGTTTTCCACAAAACTGGAAATTATCCCATTCTTTCTCCGTCTTTGGAAGTTTCTGAAAGGTTCTGCTTTGGCATGACAACAAAGAACTTCTACAGTGTCTGGCGATGACTAAAACAACTTCCGGTTCTTTCAACTTTTATCATTGTGAGTCAGGATAGCAGCAAAACCTACATAACAAAGGTTCTACTCTGTGATGCATTCATTGTTACACATGCGGGAATCATGCAAAAAAAATGAAAAGGAGAAACTTCCTTTCATATATGTGGTCAAAGTTTTGAATGACACTTCTATAGTCCGGAAAAACAATAAAACTCACGTCCTCTTCGTACATCATACATCGATTATCATCACGGATACCATAGCGAATAGGCCACCGCGCACCAACAGATGTATTTGGTTCCTGAGATTTATCTTTCTTTCTTTAATCACATTTTGCGCCGGAATCAAAGTAGTAGAATAAGTGAAAAAGTAAATAAATATACAATGTTCGAGACTTGCAAACCTTATAAGTGATGACCCATTCTCTCTTGACAGCCTTTGGTTTGTTCAGCTTCAACCAGCTAGCCACCACTGCCGTCGCCATTCTTCTGGCTTTCACCGTATCGTGTACCAAAAGTTTCACCCACATCTTCAGCACAGGTTCAGGGTAAGCTATGTCCCTAGAAAAAGGTATGATAACGTAACTTATGCTTTCGGGCAACACAAGGATGTTACCTTCGTACTAGCAAAGACAGAAATGCTTGCGCCATATCGACATGTCGCCAATGAAGATCTGGGTCTTGAGCCAGCGAAAGCAGCTTATCGGCAAGTTCGTAGTACTGGCTACAAAGAAGTGTTGTATAATCGAAAAAAAGAACTGTGCTGGAAAAGGAAAAACGGATAATGTCATAGAAGCCAACGAGGATTTCTAGTGTGACAGGATTCTACGCAAAATCGTCGAAAAAAGGAAAAAATGTCATGTCCAGACTTACTGTGTGAATTTTTGTTTCAATCGCACAAGATTATCGGCGTTAGCTTTGATCAGTTTTTCTGGTGGCATTCCTTTGCTTGCATTCAATGGGCAAGCCTCTTTCACTTCAAGAATTGATGCAGCTATAGATCGCATTTCTTCGGGAATCTACAAAAGAAATCACAACTATTTGGAATTTCAAATCAAAATCAGCATCAGATCAGACTCACTTCATATTCTATTTTATAGCTCTCGTATAACTCCACAATCGAATTCTGCGCTTGTTCCAATAAATCGATAATCGATGGCTTTTCGCTGTGTTGGGTCGCCACAATGGCTGGCATAGCTTGAAGCTGTACTTCGAATCCATCGCCTGCTCTTAGCATTAGCGCATCACGTTTATGATCAGTGAGCATATGAAGCGCTCCCTAAAATTCGCAGGGGTTTGCAAAATTTGTGAAAAAAAAGCAATATATCGAAAAGAAGCAAAGGAAACAAGAACTACACCTTGACTTGTTCATGTGTCGAATCACTCTTTGGGTCAAGGAACTTGACCAGTTCACCAAGGATGCTCTTGTATGCAAATGGATAATCTTTGAGCAGGTTCACTAGCACCAGTTGTGCCTTGATTCGATTCTGGAAGGGGAAGGGTCAATGGAGACTTAGTTGACATAGAATGGAGCGAATTTACCTGACTGTAAGTGCTGGTGCCTATTCTGACCAACATGCGTAAAATTTCCAGATGTTGCGACTTCAGCTGATAGCCACTTTGAGTAACATTTCGTTTCTAAACTCAGATACAATTTGAAAACTTCAAAAGTTCTTCAATATATCGTTGATTCGTTGACCGCACGAACTGCAGATCACTGC